TCCTTTATAAGACATGCTCAGTCTGCCCACATTGCCTGAGCAACTTCTCTGAACTCCCGTTCATTTGCTACTTGTGTATTTTGTGCCTGACTACCTATGTTCAGATCCCAGTTTCGTCCACTGTTTGTGCAAGTTTGCTGCCCATCCTGACCTTTGCTTGTCTACTGGATTTCCTGTTGTCTCCTACTGTTTTACTGCTTTTTGAAAGTCCATCCCCACCATCAGGGGCCCTGGTGAAGAAGCAGACTGGGGCTTAGACTCTGCACCCTTGAGAACCCTGAGTTGGTGATCTACAGGGGCTCACTACCACAGAAGCTTGACTCTGGTGTGTGGGTCCTCTTGTATCTGAGCACCTTCTTTGGCAAAAGGATGGTCCCTCCCAACCATTGGCCATACAAAGCACTGACAGCCATTCCTGGCAGCTCTGTGTAGTACACTTTATTGCTCAAATGCACTTCAGCTTCTCTCCTCAGCATCTTCTAGCATGGGAAGTAGCCTAGTAAAAAGTTAATCTGACCTCTGACTTCCTCACAAGGCCCTGGCACGCTTTGACCTTCTCATATATTCATTAAAACTGTAGAAAACAGCACAATGCATTCAGTTTATCAATTGTTTTGCTTGGGCTGTCACTCCTCTAGATGCTGCTGTTGCACCTGGCAACGTTCTAGCAAAACATGTTGGAAAAGTTCCATATGGTACTCTGAACAGTAGATGTGATGTCATGGGTCCTCCAGTATGAACAGTGGGGTACTGTGGAGAAATTCTGAAGTCAGTCTTCTTCACTTAATGTTTGAGCAGATTATTCAGTTGTCTGAGTAAATCTCTCCCTCATGAAGCTTTCAGATTGATATTGTATTGGGCAGCAGGGGATAGGGCATGCTTGAACTCCACTATCTATATAACTCTGGTAGTATAGAAAGATATTGGTCCTGGAGTTCCACAGCAGCTAAGGTGTTGTTAGTAGCTAAAGGGAGGGAGGGAGATAACAGCCTGACTGATGATAAAAGCTTGTGTACAAATCCACAGATGAAAACATTTCCGTTCCATTGGTTGCTTAGTTTTTTTAAAGGTTTTCCATGATCAAAGCAGTGGGGAATCTTCTGGCAAAAGCTATTTTCTGGGACTTATTATCAGGGACCAATATGTGAGCAGGAAGGAGATGCCAGGACCTGAAAAGATGTACAAAGAAAATCAGCAGCGAGATTCTGCACTGTTATTATACTAAACCTGCGTTCACACTATATCTGTGCAGGAAATCGAATGTCATTCAGACAGGAATCATACCACATTCCTGTTCAAATCACATGTGGTTCTTTGCAGTGCAATTTGAGCCTATTAATTTTGTATGGACTCAATTTGCACAGCACATACACAATAAAGGTGCAGGCATCTTTTTTTTGCTGCATCAGAATGGCTTAACATGAGTAAACAACAAATAGTGCAGCGCTATAATGAACAGTATTAAATGAGTAATAAATGAATAAAATATAAATTGTGAATAAAATTAATCATATATAATAAACTGATTGTAATGTTCATGAGGTGGCTCAATGGTGAGAAAAGTCCCCACTGCTACAGCCAGGTGCGGGTGCCTTACAGTGATGGAAAAAATGCGCACTCACCAGACGTGCACTATATTAGTGCAATATGAATGGTAAAAACAGGGTGTCATCAGGTATCCAACTGGAGAGCCCCCTCACAGGATGATATAGATCCGGGAATCTAAGAAGATGGTAACACTCCTGGGTTCCCCTTTAAGGATGGATGGATGCTGCTGTCAGCAGATAGGCAGGAACCTCACTCTCCTTAGGCGCTGTGGTCAGCAGATAAGTAGGAAACTCCCTCTCTGGGTACACTGATAGGAGAGCATCTGAAGAAATAATACTCCCCACACGGGGTCAAAACAAAAAGATACCCATAGTGTAGTAGGTCTGATAAATTTATTAAGAAACAGGGATGCATCTTTTTAGGTCGCCGGAGCTCCATTTAGGAGGAGCCGACACACACCGCTGACGTCACGCCGTCGGAGCATCGTGGAGCTCCGGCGGCCATCTCCTTTCAGGGACGGTTAGTCCTTTCCGCTGCATTTTATACTATGTTTGGATGCATCCCTGTTTCTTAATAAATTTATCAGACCTACTACACTATAGGTATCTTTTTGTTTTGACCCCGTGTGGGGAGTATAATTTCTTCAGATGCTCTCCTATCAGTGTACCCAGAGAGGGAGTTTCCTACTTATCTGCTGACCACTGTGCCTAAGGAGAGTGAGGTTCCTGCCTATCTGCTGACAGCAGCATCCATCCATCCTTAAAGGGGAACCCAGAAGTATTACCATCTTCTTAGATTCCCGGATCTATACCATCCTGTGAGGGGGCTCTCCAGCTGGATACCTGATGACACCCTGTTTTTACCATTTATATTGCACTAACATAGTGCACGTCTGGTGAGTGCGCATTATTTACATCACTGTAAGGCACCCGCACCTGTCTGTAGCAGTGGGGACTTTTCTCACCATTGAGCCACCTCGTGAACATTACAATCAGTTTATTATATATGATTAATTTTATTCACATTTTGAATTTTATTCATTTATTACTCATTTAATACTGTTCATTATAGCGCTGCACTATTTGTTGTTTATTCTAAGAAGGATTTCTTTTGGTTGCCTTGAGTGCACAGCTGCTCCTTTAAAAAGCGCTCACTTTTGATTGTTTCTTTCGGCTTAACATGAGTGTTTACACCCATGTGATCCAATTCTTGCAATTGCACTGTGTTTTGCTACTTATTTTGGAGTAATATTAATTTAACACTGACACCGGTGGCAGATTGTATGCACGGAGAGCGATTTCAACGTGGCACAGGAAACGCTTCGGACTCACTACGTTTCCTGCCCCACATATATGTGAACCAGGGCTAATTCAATTAAAAGTTAACCATAAAGATAATATGGGAAGAAAACTAGGGGGTGGTTTTAAGAGAGTGACAAGTCCCATGGGAACATTTTGTTAGCCCCCGTTTTCCCAGCAAATTGTCATACACCTAAGACACCTATGCAGTTCCTGTGTCCCTATGTGGATATGTGTGTTGATGCGTCTGACAAAGTGACCAGCTCAATGCATTTCATCGAAAAAGTGGAGTTCATCTAGAGCTGCTTTGTGATTTCATACTTATAAATAGAGATGAGCGAAGTATTCAAAAATTCGATTCGACTGATTCGGCCAATTCGTGGAAAAATTTCGATTCGAGTCGAATATATTCGCTGCGAATTTAACTTATAAAAGGGTGTTTCTAGGCTTCAGAGAGCCTTTATATTAGTGCAGAACACTGTACCTTTAATTTAAATGCCCTTGGAGTCTGCTGGGGAAGAGAAATAATACTGACAGTCAGTATGACATGCAGATGAGTGCCGTCGATCTTAGAATCACCGCACACTTCACTCATTTGGGCAGTCACGGGGCCAAAACCAGAGTGTGGAGCCACAGTGTGGAGCCACAGTGTGGCGGTGGAGGCAGCAGCAATGGGAGGCCATACAGCACCCTATGACAAAAATGGAAACCACCAGCAGTGTGAGGAGACCTGAAAGTGGCACATGGCAGAGTGTGGCGATGGAGACAGCAGCAATGGGAGGCCGTACAGGGACCCATGACACACTCTGGACCTGGCAGCAGCATGAGGAGCGGTACAGGGGCCCATGACAGATTACGGGCCTGGCAGCAGCATGAGGAGTTGGTACGGGGGCCCATGGCAGATTACGGGCCTGGCAGCAGCAATGGGAGGCCGTACAGGGACCCATGACACACTCTGGACCTGGCAGCAGCATGAGGAGGCGGTACAGGGGCGCATGACAGATTACGAGCCTGGCAGCAGCAACTTGGACAGGAGGACGTTCAGCTTCTGCACCGTCGGGGGTGCGTGCTTGCAAAGTGTTGTCTCTTGGAAACGGATTCCAAGAAAGACTGCTTACGGAATCCGTGAAGAGGAGTAGCAGGAGAAGGAGCATCTGAACGAGCGGAATATGCCAACAAGCGACAACAGGGGCCCATGACAGATTACGGGCCTGGCAGCAGCATGAGGAGTCGGTACGGGGGCCCATGGCAGATTACGGGCCTGGCAGCAGCAATGGGAGGCCTGTAATCTGCCAGCACCCTATGACAAAAAATGGAACACACCAGCAGTGTGTGAGGAGACCTGAAAGTGGCAAATGGCAGAGTGTGGCGATGGAGACAGCAGCAATGGGAGGCCGTACAGGGACCCATAAGAGACTCTGGACCTGGCAGCAGCATGAGGAGGAGGTACAGGGGCCCATGGCAGATAAGGGGCCTGGCAGCAGCTATGGGAGGCCCGTAATCTGCCAGCACCCTATGACAAAAAATGGAACACACCAGCAGTGTGAGGAGACCTGAAAGTGGCACATGGCAGAGTGTGGCGATGGAGACAGCAGCAATGGGAGGCCGTACAGGGACCCATGAGAGACTGTGGACCTGGCAGCAGCATGAGGAGGCGGTACTGGGGCCCATGGCAGATTACGGGCCTGGCAGCAGCAATGTGAGGCCCGTAATCTGCCAGCACCCTATGACAAAAAATGGAACACACCAGCAGTGTGTGAGGAGACCTGAAAGTGGCACATGGCAGAGTGTGGCGATGGAGACAGCAGCAATGGGAGGCGGTACAGGGACCCATGAGACACTGTGGACCTGGCAGCAGCATGAGGAGGCGGTACAGGGGCCCATGGCAGATTAGGGGCCTGGCAGCAGCTATGGGAGGCCCGTAATCTGCCAGCACCCTATGACAAAAAATGGAACACACCAGCAGTGTGAGGAGACCTGAAAGTGGCACATGGCAGAGTGTGGCGATGGAGACAGCAGCAATGGGAGGCCGTACAGGGGCCCATGAGAGACTGTGGACCTGGCAGCAGCATGAGGAGGCGGTACTGGGGCCCATGGCAGATTACGGGCCTGGCAGCAGCAATGGGAGGCCCGTAATCTGCCAGCACCCTATGACAAAAAATGGAACACACCAGCAGTGTGTGAGGAGACCTGAAAGTGGCACATGGCAGAGTGTGGCGATGGAGACAGCAGCAATGGGAGGCGGTTCAGGGACCCATGAGACACTGTGGACCTGGCAGCAGCATGAGGAGGCGGTACAGGGGCCCATGGCAGATTAAGGCCTGGCAGCAGCAATGGGAGGCCCGTAATCTGCCAGCACCCTATGACAAAATGGAACCCTGGGCTGGGGCAGGCAGAACCGCCGTATCTTTATCACGGTTTTTCCCAGGCCACCGAATGGCGACGCTGCATATGCTGACGCAACACTGTAGTCCCAACATGGGCCCCCTGGCAACGCTTGACTTTCTGGCCACATAGTCGACATACGGCTACGTTTACTTCCTCGGGCGGCTTGACGAAAAATTGCCACACCGCCGAGTAGGAAACTTTGCCCCCGCTACTCCTCACTGGCTGACTGCTACTTCCTCCGTGCACACCGGCACCACTATGGCCGTGGTGGTAGGCTGCAGTGGAGCTGGTGCTCTACTCCGTGGCCGTTTGCCTCCACTGACACTGCTGCGACCCTGCTGCCTCCTGGCAGCAGCAATGGGAGGCCGTACAGGGACCCATGACACACTCTGGACCTGGCAGCAGCATGAAGAGGCGGTACAGGGGCCCATGGCAGATTACGGGCCTGGCAGCAGCAATGGGAGGCCCGTAATCTGCCAGCACCCTATGACAAAAAATGGAACACACCAGCAGTGTGAGGAGACATGAAAGTGGCACATGGCAGAGTGTGGCGATGGAGACAGCAGCAATGGGAGGCCGTACAGGGACCCATGAGAGACTCTGGACCTGGCAGCAGCATGAGAGAGGCAGTACAGGGGCCCGTGGCAGATTAGGGGCCTGGCAGCAGCTATGGGAGGCCTGTAATCTGCCATCACCCTATGACAAAAAATGGAACACACCAGCAGTGTGTGAGGAGACCTGAAAGTGGCACATGGCAGAGTGTGGCGATGGAGACAGCAGCAATGGGAGACCGTACAGGGACCCATGAGACACTGTGGACCTGGCAGCAGCATGAGGAGGCGGTACAGGGGCCCATGGCAGATTAGGGGCCTGGCAGCAGCAATGGGAGGCCCGTAATCTGCCAGCACCCTATGACAAAAAATGGAACACACCAGCAGTGTGTGAGGAGACCTGAAAGTGGCACATGGCAGAGTGTGGCGATGGAGACAGCAGCAATGGGAGGCCGTACAGGGACCCATGAGAGACTCTGGACCTGGCAGCAGCATGAGGAGGCGGTATAGGGGCCTATGGCAGATTAGGGGCCTGGCAGCAGCTATGGGAGGCCCGTAATCTGCCAGCACCCTATGACAAAAAATGTAACACACCAGCAGTGTGAGGAGACCTGAAAGTGGCACATGGCATGAGACACTGTGGACCTGGCAGCAGCATGAGAGGCGGTACAGGGGCCCATGGCAGATTAGGGGCCTGGCAGCAGCAATGGGAGGCCCGTAATCTGCCAGCACCCTATGACAAAAAATGGAACACACCAGCAGTGTGTGAGGAGACCTGAAAGTGGCACATGGCAGAGTGTGGAGATGGAGACCGCAGCAATGGGAGGCCGTACAGGGACCCATGAGAGACTCTGGACCTGGCAGCAGCATGAGGAGGCGGTATAGGGGCCCATGGCAGATTAGGGGCCTGGCAGCAGCTATGGGAGGCCCGTAATCTGCCAGCACCCTATGACAAAAAATGGAACACACCAGCAGTGTGAGGAGACCTGAAAGTGGCACATGGCATGAGACACTGTGGACCTGGCAGCAGCATGAGGAGGCGGTACAGGGGCCCATGGCAGATTAGGGGCCTGGCAGCAGCTATGGGAGGCCCGTAATCTGCCAGCACCCTATGTCAAAAAATGGAACACACCAGCAGTGTGTGAGGAGACCTGAAAGTGGCACATGGCAGAGTGTGGCGATGGAGACAGCAGCAATGGGGTGGCCGTACAGGGACCCATGAGACACACTCTGGACCTGGCAGCAGCATGAGGAGGCGCTATAGGGGCCCATGGCAGATTGGGGGCCTGGCAGCAGCTATGGGAGGCCCGTAATCTGCCAGCACCCTATGTCAAAAAATGGAACACACCAGCAGTGTGTGAGGAGACCCTGAAAGTGGCACATGGCAGAGTGTGGCGATGGAGACAGCAGCAATGAGAGGCCGTACAGGGACCCATGAGAGACTCTGGACTTGGCAGCAGCATGAGGAGGCGGTATAGGGGCCCATGGCAGATTAGGGGCCTGGCAGCAGCTATGGGAGGCCCGTAATCTGCCAGCACCCTATGTCAAAAAATGGAACACACCAGCAGTGTGTGAGGAGACCTGAAAGTGGCACATGGCAGAGTGTGGCGATGGAGACAGCAGCAATGGGAGGCCGTACAGGGACCCATGAGAGACTCTGGACCTGGCAGCAGCATGAGGAGGCGGTATAGGGGCCCATGGCAGATTAGGGGCCTGGCAGCAGCTATGGGAGGCCCGTAATCTGCCAGCACCCTATGACAAAAAATTGAACACACCAGCAGTGTGAGGAGACATGAAAGTGGCACATGGCATGAGACACTGTGGACCTGGCAGCAGCATGAGGAGGCGGTACAGGGGCCCATGGCAGATTAGGGCCCTGGCAGCAGCTATGGGAGGCCCGTAATCTGCCAGCACCCTATGACAAAAAATGGAACACACCAGCAGTGTTTGTGAGGAGACCTGAAAGTGGCACATGGCAGAGTGTGGCGATGGAGACAACCCACCGACTGTTTTGCTCGCTGCCAAGCTGCCACCCTCTTCTCCTGATGATGCGGAAGCAATAGCCTGATGACGACGAGGCTGCCAAGTGCGATCAGCCTCATCATCATCAATTAGGGTCTCCGCCTCACTACTAGCCCCCTCGGCTGCGTGTGGGTCAGGAGACAGACCTGTCTCTAGACCGGCTACCGAGCCACTCTCCTCGCCACTACTTCTTCGCCTGGCTGCTGAAGAGGCGGATGTCTCCCCCCGTTCCTGACCGCCCTCTGTTAGCTCTTCCTCACTGTACTGGATGACACCGGGAGCACTGGCCTCTGGCTGCGAATAGTGCTGCCCGACCCTTCCTCTGCTGCCACGTCTGCTCGCTCCTAAAACATTGCCTCCTCTGCCACTCCTCTGCATGTTGTCTGACATACTCTTTAATTCAACGATTCTGTGTCCCTGAGTAACAATTCTGTGTCTGTCCCTGAGTAACAATTCTGTGTCCCTGAGTAACAATTCTGTGTCCCTGAGAAACGTTTCTGTGGCCCTAAGTAACAGTTCTGTGGCCCTCAGTAACAATTCTGTGTCCCTCAGTAACAATTCTGTGTCTGTCCCTGAGTAACAATTCTGTGTCCCTCAGTAACAATTCTGTGTCCCTCAGTAACAATTCTGTGTCCCTCAGTAACAATTCTGTGTCCCTCAGTAACAATTCTGTGTCCCTGAATAACAATTCTGTGTCTGTCCCTGAGTAAGAATTCTGTGTCTGTCCCTGAGTAACAGTTCTGTGTCCCTAAGTAACGTTTCTGTGGCCCTAAGTAACGTTTCTATGGCCCTAAGTAACGTTTCTGTGGCCCTAAGTAATGATTCTGTGGCCCTAAGTAACGTTTCTGTGGCCCTAAGTAACGGTTCTGTGGCCCTCAGTAACAATTCTGTGGCCCTAAGTAACAATTCTGTGTCTGTCCCTAAGTAACAATTCTGTGGCCCTAAGTAACGTTTCTGTGGCCCTAAGTAACAATTCTGTGGCCCTCAGTAACAATTCTGTATCCCTCAGTAACAATTCTGTGTCTGTCCCTGAGTAACAATTCTGTGTCCCTAAGTAACGGTTCTGTGGCCCTCACTAACAATTCTGTGTCCCTCAATAACAATTCTGTCTGTCCCTAAGTAACAATTCTGTGTCCCTAAGTAACGTTTCTGTGGCCCTAACTAACGATTCTGTGGCCCTAAGTAACGTTTCTGTGGCCCTAAGTAACGTTTCTGTGGCCCTAAGTAACGATTCTGTGGCCCTAACTAGCGTTTCTGTGTCCATAAGTAACGTTTTCTCTGTCCCTAACTCTCTCCCTGAATACAGCCAGGTCTGCCTCTGTTGAATGACTGGAGGCAAATGGAGAATTCTAAAATGGCCGCCATTTATAGCTCGACCATTACACTGTGCTGGCTGGCTGGCTGCTGATTGGCTAATGCGATCACATGTCATGAATGAATGCATTATGGGTCAGCGCGCCTTGTCTGCGCGCCTTCCCAGACATCCCCGCTCCGTCGCCGCACATGTCGCCGCCATTTTAGGAAAAATTTCGATTCGCGCATCCGAAGTCTGCTTATTTTCGGATTCGACGAAATTTTCCTAATATTCGAAACGAATTCCACTTCGCCTACTTCGATTCGCTCATCTCTACTTATAAATATAGCACAAATGCTGTCAGGGCAGTTTAAAAGATACAAAAACCATAATAAGCATCATGATATAGTTACAAAGATAGCTGAATAAAACTTCATATTACATTTTCTTATTTTTGGGTACATTATACAGTATATATTGCAAAACGTGGTATATTCATATGCACTGCTTGCTCAATGTTGGTAATTAGCTAAGATCTCCCAATTTTTATACATTGGAATCATTTTATGTTTACACAGTGTATAGCAGTTTAAGAGGCAAACCCCTTGATAACTTCTGTTAATATAGATTTTTTTTGTCCAACTATTTAATTCCTGACTCGGAAGTTACATGTTCAGCTGTTTTGGTGTAGGCACTGGATTCTTCTTCTGGTTGATGAACTATGCATTTTAGAGATTCTACATGAAAATTGACAAGCATCTAATTACAAGACTATGGTTCTTTTTTGTTATGTTGTGCCAAAGTACAGGTGTTAAACCTGCAGTGAGGTTCAGTGTAAAAAGGCTTTCATAGTCTCATAGTAAAATAATACATTTTTAAATCAGGTAATCAGGCCAAATGAATTTCTGTAAACACCGTAGCAGAATAATTATAAGCTAAAATCACCAGTGAATTATAAATTGTGTCTTCACACTCATGACTTAGCGAAAACAGATTTTTCAAACTAAAACCTGCAAAGCACAGACAAGTGAGTGAAAATTGTAAATTGTTCTATTTTAACAATCCTGCAAAAAGGGGCTTTATCAACATGGTACATCAAATGCCCCAGATAATTTACCTGTTATTCAAACATAAAGCATAGAACCAGTGTTTTTTATTAACACAGTGTATTTAGTGTTTTGTATATGCATATACATGTAACCGATTGTTTTGATTACATATGTATGAATCAAAGACAAAACTCACTTATTAAGTGCTAATTGCGAAGTAAATGATCTACTTATAAGTTTACATAAAAACATTGCCTAATGTAAACAAGAACTAATAAACCTCACAATGGTTTTGAGAATCAAACCTTAAGGCCTCATTCACATGGCCATAAAAAAATTATTTACAAGCACTTTTTATTTATGGACCTGAATGCAGCTGCATTGTTTTCAATGGTGACATTCACACATGTGCGTAAGCATGCACTGTGTTCAGGTCTGTAACAGAAAATCCAGAAATCTGTGTCTGAGGGCATACATATACACATATGATATGACTGATGCAGCTATTGTAAAAATAACAGCACAGTTTTTTGCAAGTTTTTACTGATCATTACTAAGGAACTTTTGTGCTAGAAAAATTACATGCATAATATCAGTAACATTTTTATGGCCATGTAATTGTAGTCTAAATGTACCCATAAACAATACATGTCTATAGTCTAATATGTATTCAGAAAAACATTTGAATGACAAACTGAGATGTTAATGAATTTCAGGAAGTCAATATTGGATATAAATCCCAAAAATGTCTCACATGTTGTACCATTAAGATATTTCTTGCCTCATCTCTAATTTAGCCATTTCTCTGCAAATACCACTGCCTTCTTGATCTCAACTTAGTGTTTTTTATATAGCCTGTTTTTTTCATAATTAAGTCATTCATTTAAATCCTGTATATTTGATGCCTTCTCTTTATAATATATATATCAAGGGTAAGCATCATAGTTAAATGTCTACTAAATTATTTGATATTTCCCATTTAAACACAACTGTAGTAAAGTTTGTTAAATAGTATATAGTCTGTAGTGTAGTGAGTTTACCAGAAAAATTCTTATATTTGAAAAAAGTCTATAAATTATTTTCTGCTTTTTAGGTCATCATATCCAGTATGTGTTGTAATATTTAGGGATGTTTAGCTCAGTGGTAGATTTGAAGTGTTTTGAAGTGAGTTCATACCAGTCAGGAACTATTTTTCAGGGCTTGGTAGCCCACTTTTATTAAAAGGAAAACAAAGGAAAACCAAAAACACAATTTTTCTCACGCCGAGGTTCTTCTCCAGCAAAATATACACAATGCAAATGAAAGTAATAGCCCACCTGGCTACTCTTCAGCAGCACTGCTGCTATAGTTACTGATCCTTCTGACCACCAGCTCTTTCAGGCACACATCTTAGAGCCGCACACAACTCCTCTGGCCAAGTCCTCAGGCCATTAACTCAGATGCACACAGCTCCTCGGGTCGTTAACTGTCTCTTGCAGACCTTCATACTCCAGCTACCATTTGCAGC